TAGGGTAAGGATTTTAGAAAAAAGCATTGTCTTATAGTCAGAAAAATATGGTACATTAACTAAATAAATAAATGACTGACTGACTGACTACTTTCCCTGCCTCAGAAATCTGTTGCTATCTTAGTCAATTTTGGACAACATATCCTAACCCTCCTCCTATTCATACTTTGGTACAGCACATCATGAAGCTAGGCTCTGAGCATGATTATAACCGTCACGTAATAAAATGAAAAACAGCACATAGTTTTTAAAAATAATAAAATGTATTCAAGTAAGAGAAACTTTCAAGCATAAATAACCAGTTCAATTAATCACACTGATTCTATAGCTTAATGAGTTTAACTCCATGCTTTGTCCCACTCTCTTTTGAGACAAGGTTAAAGTACTTTTCACATAATATAGGACCAAGATAGAAGTACTATGAAATAGTGACTGAGCCTAAAATTAAAAACTCGGTTAAAAAAAATGAAACTTGTACATAATACTGGATGCCAAGATATGGATTCTATAAAATAATACCCCTAAGGTGTAAAAGAGTGATACTTGTTTCTAGCACACGTGCATACAAATATATGTGAATGAACATCAAGGCATTCTGCAATGGGCAAGTAGCAATTTCAATGTAATGTAATTTGCTGACCTATATCTGAAACATAACTACAGATGTTATATTTTTAACCAAAGATCAAAATCAATTACTGTGTTCTTTAATTCAATGATGGATGGGCTATTGTGTAAACAAATGCAGACCAACACATATTGCCTTCACTTATGTATAGGTTCAGAAAGTTATATATATACATCTGTAAAATGTTAAGAATGTGTCATCTTCCCATTGTTGATATTCTCAACACAGTCACATGTACCATATGAAACTTACGCCATACTGATTGGCAGTATGGCAATGGCAATTCTAAAATTTCCCTTTTATTAAAATCACAAAACTGTAAATCCTACAAATAAATATACTGAATTCAGTAGATATTACTGTATAGACAACCATATTTGCATAAATGTGTATGTATGAACATCACAGATGCCTCATTTATCTTATTGGAAATAATTTTTAAGAGTGTCATCTCCAGCAGACAGGCTATGTCAAATTCTGCTACCAGTAAGTGGTCTTTAATGACTCTCCACCACGCAGTGATGACAGTTTAACAATGGCACATTATCTTTGCAAAACGTGAAGAGTAAACTGCTTGCCAATGCAAACTTAATACCTATTCCTTACTGAGCAATACATTCTTCTTAATATGCTATGACTGTAACATTTCAAAAGCTTGCAAATAAATAAATGTGCATTGCCAAGGTTAAAACAAAACAAAAAAGCTGCACAAGGGTCTATAAAATAGTAACTAAAGAAAATTACAAGATGGATTGCCTCAAATAAACAAAAATAGCCATGCAAAATGTAATAATTTTTTTGGTGGTATTCTAAACATTAAAGTTGAAAATAATTCTGATTTGTCAAGATATTGCAGAAAGGTAGTCTGAGACTACTTTTGAAAACTAAAACATTCATAATCTTCTGACTTTAAAGCAGTTCATTTATGAAGCAACCATATATTACATTGGACACTTTTCCTCGAGTCTTTGGATATACTGGCATTTCAATACCAGCCATGGATATTGAAATCCAGCATCACAGTTTTATTCTGCTTCCTCTTGATACTTCTGCTCAGACCAACATGAGAGGGTGAGCATAATGAGAGGAATTCTCCCACAAAAACTAACCAGTGGGCAGACAGTCCTAGTCCTAGTTCTACATTATTCTTTTACCTATTTCCAAATGGCCACAACAGCAAGGTACCTGACATCCAGAGAAAATCTGCTAGAATGATGAAATGTCTTAGAACCAAATCTTATGAGGAACAGTTCTTAGCTAATGAAAGACTTAGCCATTCAAGTATCAGAAAGGCTGACATGCTATCAAGGTAGCAGCATTGTTCTCTGCTGCTCCAAAGGACATTATCAGAACTAAAGGTGGGATTTGTAAATATGCAGATTTTGGCTAACAATCATGAGAACTTTCTTCAGAGTAAATGCTGTCTGACAGTAGAAAAGGCTGTTGGGTTTCCTTCACTGGAGTCATTAAAGCAGAAGCACAACAACTGTCAGCCATGTTATGGTTCCGTCTTGCACTGAAACTAGGCAACATGATATCCAAGATTCCTTAGGGACTCTATGATTCCACAATATGGCTAGTATTTAACAGCAGCTGCCTTGTGTGGTCCAAGAAAGAATCTGTACTAGTAGTGGGTTCAGAAAAGGGAGTTGAACATTTTTGACAGAGAATCAGGGTATATATACGTAACAATACCAGCATGCTGGTGATAAGTACTCCATCCCACTACAAATTCATTCATTCATTCATTCATTCATTCATTCATTCATTCATTCATTCATTCATTTTATATAGCCACCCATCTCAGACCAGTGACTCTGGACAGCTAACAATAATAAAAACAGTCAACACCTAAAACAATACAGAAAATAAATATAAATACAGCCAAGTCACAATACGGATAATAGCTCACCTCATGGATCATTGATACCATGTGTGTATGTGTATTACATGCATTCACACATACAAGCATATATATATGTATTTGTGCATGCTGTTGTGCATGCATATTATTGTTTCTCTTTTTTGTTTCTCTTTTTATTCTGTGTCTCTTTGTTCTAAGCAAAGTTATTTGCTTTGGTTCTAGGCAAAACAGGGGCGATTATGAAGGGGAACATACATACTAGGATGACCATGGCATTAGCACTATTGACATTTTCTTGTTACCGTCAATCTCTTTTTTCTTCCTTCAGTTTTAAAAATCAACCTCATCTTCTTCTAGTCCAGTTTATGTCAATCTATATTCAGCATATAGAATAATAAAGTGTATGAAGCCTTGTTTTACTCCTTTGCCATCCTGAAAAGAGTCTTTTTCACCAAGTTTCTTTGGACTGTGGCTTTCTGACCTATGCATAGGTTTTGCACAAGGACAATGAGTTGTTCAGAAATTCCCATTGTCCTATGCACATTCCAGAGTTTGACATGGTCAGTACAACGAAAGGCCTTTATAGAATCAGTGATGCACATATTTTGTTTTTGATATTCTTTGGCTTTCTCAATTATCCAGTGTGCATTACCAATAATGTCTCTTGTTCCTCAACCTTTCCTAAAGCTGGCTTGAACATCTGCCATCTCCCTTTCCATGTAGGATTTGTGTTGGATGATCCTAAGCATTATTTTTCTGGTGTGTGAAATTAAGGATATTGTATGATTGTTTGGATACTCTTTTAAGTCTCCTTTCTTTAGTACTGATATGTAGAGTGACCTCTTCCAGGCTGTTGGCCACTGTGTCATTCTCCAGATTTGCTGGCATAGTTTAGTTAGAACATTTATATTTATTTATTTATTTATTTATTTTCAAATTTGTCACTGTAGAGCGACTCTGGGCGGTTTACACTAAAAAAATAACTATTAATTAAGACAGAATAAACATTAATTAAAATACACTACAACAAGATTCCTATATAATACTTCCAAGAGACTGATGTTAATTAGGAGTTATTAGACTCAGGGAGCATCTTCAAAGCGCCAGCCACCCCCAGGGTTGGTTGTATCTCTTCTCACCCTACACAAGTTGGCAGAGCCAGGTCTTCAATTCCTTCCGGGAAGCTGGGAGGGTAGGGTAGGGTTTTTCTTTTAATGCTTCTGTTGAATATTTCTTCAGATATTCTATTAACTCCTCTACCTTTTCAATTTGGCAATGACCAGAGTGCTGTTCTAACTCCCTCTTCTAGAAGTAGAATTTCTTCTGAATAGGGAATATTTTCTAAAGTATCTTGGATCTTAGATGTTGACATCTTTACTGACAGAATTTCAGTATGCTCCTTCCATTTTTGTTTGATCTTCTTTGAATCTGTTATGTGTCCACTGACATCTTTTAGTGTACTAATTCAAGGTTTGAACATCCTTCTAAAAAAGATTGTTTAGAAGGCTTTCCTTGTTTTTCTTAACTGTTTCCATCTTTAATGTTTTACAGTATTGTTTTACATTGTAATACTGCTTCTTGCCTCCTCTAACAGCTTAACAAATTCTTTGTTAAGTTCATTCCTGAGATCTTTGTCTTTTTGGTTTTGGCTTCCCTAACCCTAACCCTAACTTTGTTTTGGATTTTCTTTTCCTGCATGGCAACATCAGCAAAGAGATGTCCGAAGGCTTTAATCTAACCATGTCTTAGTACTCCAAAAATTCCTCAGGTTTTCCTGAGTAGCATGTTAAGTGCCAGCTGGTATGAGGGACCCATAATCCAGCACCATGTCATCAATAATCTTATATATTCTATCCATGTGGTTTTCTTAACAAAATACAGGTAAGTTTACCATTAACTTTTCCTATGCAGTATAAAATGATGCCTTTGCCACTGTCAATAAAGTGATCATCCATTTCCAGAATCTTGCTGTATCACTGCTGCCCAGTATAGGTGCCTGCTTGCTTTAGCTGGACAGAAGGAATGACACATCTTGGGTGACTCTGCCCTTGGCATCCATTCCCAGCATCCCTTCCAGGAACACCCCTCTGCCATGATGATGCAGCACAGCAGGATTTGAGGGGGGTCTTTACAGTTAGATTTTCCTAAATCCTTTGTGTAAAATTGTTATTTTTTAAAATTACAAACTGTTAAAAAGACTTTAGTGATTGACAGTAAAACAAAACACATAAATAAATCAAGCAGTATTTTAATTGTTAGTTTCCCAACCATCCAGTGTCTTAAGAACAGTGATGTAATGGCAATCAATGTGACTATTGGATGCCATACACTTTGTGACTGAGATGGCCACAGGTTGATAAATAAAATAAAATATAGTGATATATTGTTTTATTGCATTATTGGCTTTCTGCTAGTGTCCCCAAGACACCTGCGTTTCGTGCATGTACAATAAGGAGAATTTTGGCAGCTGTTATTTTTAACCATATAGGAAAGAAAATATTCCAATACCTCAATTCAGATTCAAATCACTGCAAATCATGATTTGTGCTACTATGGTTAAGGACCCAACTTTGGTTGACCTTCCAGATACACAGCTAGATAAAGCATTTTTAGAGTAACATGTCTTTTTCAGGTGGCAACTTTAATCAGAACTGAAGTTTGGGAAGAGTGAGTTGTGACTGGTTGCTCTCTGAATTGCTACTTAAATTTAAAAGATAAGATCTGTGAAATATATTGATTCTTGGCCATTACTGAGAGGCCATTTGCACTGATTTGATCAGAAGCATCTGTGGGGGAGGTTGAGGGGGGTGAATAATGAGCCCAGTGTTGCACCATTATGCCATAGATTCTACTATTCCATATGTGTACTGTGATGTCCCATGCAAGTTCACTGTAAAAGTAGCAGAGGTTGGTGTGTAACACTGTTTCATTGTTTTGTCAAAAGCAGTACACTTTGCAGATGCCTCTTATATGGATAAAAGTTTGTAAACCCCTCAGTCAGCCATTCCTTGGGAGAAGTTAGTTTAACCTTGTATGGGACTAGTCTCTTTAGGGTTAAAGCTAATACTAGTACATGACTGAGCCCAAGAACCCTTTTTGAAGTTTCTCTAAGATGCTTACTGTCCCTTTCTTGACCCCCTTAACCATGTTGTGGGAACAGAGGTTAGAAGTATTTTCTCTGATGGAGTATTTCATGGAGTGCTATTTATAATGAATAATAATATTAGCAAAAGCATGTGAAGTGTAGTATTTGTAGTGATTTAACTGGTGTGCAAGATTCTGACAGACTTGAGACCCAGTTTTTCAGCTCTTTCCCAACACAAAACATAAACAATGTGATGAGCCAAATTAATGGAATGAAATCCTTTCATTCCTGAGCACTATTCTATTCTGAATTGTGCTTTTGACAAAGAGCAATTTGTTTCTTCAGGAAGTAAGGGATAAACAGGATGTAGAAGGAAAGCCTCCCCCTTAACACATGCATGACATTTATAAGAAAATGTTGAAAACTGATTTATTTTTATAAAGTTACAAGCATGCATACATATACATTGGTGCTGTAATTAAGTTGGGACTGGTTTGTACTCATTTTGTTCTAATGACACTAAAGGAAAAAATTAAAAACTAAGGCTGAAATAAAATGTGTTAATAGTCATTTAATAGTTAATAGTTCTTATTAAGCAGTGATGTCTTTTTGAAAAAAATTTTTTTGTGAAATAAATCAAATAATTGCTTAAAATTCTTCTTACCAATTAATTATTTCATATTAGTTTTGCATTAAGAATATTAAACCAGAGTTTAGAGGTATTGGTCAAGATCTAATTTGGCAATAATGAATTGATTTAAAATTGATTTATTGAATTAATTATCTGAAAAGGATATGAATCTCTTTCTCTGTTGATATAGTGGGAATATTTGTACTCTCTTGATGCACCTGTCCATCAAAAACGTACTGAGAATATTTATTTGTACAGTATATATTCTCAATCCCTCAATGATGTTTTACAGCACCTGGAGATCAATCTTCAACATGAAATCAACATATTACCATTAACACAATCTTTTCTATCATCACTGTAACTATTCTGCTTCTATGCAATGTTTCTGCTGGTTTTTGTTTTGAAAGAAATTGGGGGGGGGGTGTATTTTGCTTTCTTCTCACCATAATCTTTTCTATTTCTCACATATACAGAATCTATCTTTCTATATATCTGGCAATTACCGTGATAAAGTGGTCCAGTAATACTTACATCATAATATCTCTAAAATTTCAAAGAACTCTGTTATTTTTGCTACCAAAGACTAACAGCAATTAAAAAATGCTCAGAGATAACAAAACAGCTGCTATGTGGATTTCTGTATATATGGTATTATTTATTTATATCCCCAAATATAAATAAATAATAATGCTATGAAGCTTTATTTGGGAATGAAACAGAGTTGACATTCTTTCTATTCAAGTTTAAAAATATTTCAGAATCTCTGCTAGAATAGCTGATAAGAGTACATTTAAATGTAGCTGTTCAATTTCTTTCAAATAAGTTATACTGCAGCCCTGTGCACACTTACCTGGGAGCAAGGCAACAAAAATCAGTGAACTAGTTCTGAATGGACAAGCACAAGAATACTCTATTTCATAAGAATTGCAGCAATAATAATAATAATAATAATAATAATAATAATAATAATCCTGTTCAGATTAACCCAACTCTTAAACTGTGCAACATACATTCTATGCAAAGAGATGTCTGTTTCAAATAATCTAAAATATCCAAATTCCATTTACTGTGGTGCAAGCAATTTTTCAGGGACGTTTGCCATAAAATAAATATATGTACCAGAATGTCCATAGCATAACAAAAACAAACCTTGAGCTAATAAAATTAGCCTCTTAATGCTGAACCAGCTGATCAAAAAGGACTGCAACATCGTGAAAGTTTATAGCACAATATGTAAACATTTCCTGGAAATACATTTGCAGTGAAATATTAAGCAGAAGAAAGTCCTAATGATTTACAACTCAGGGGTCAGTATGTTTAGGATTCCAATTTTAAAGGGAAATCTTTCTGGGATTCATTTGTAGATTAAACATAAGTAGATCAAAAGGAAACTTAACCCACATCACACTGGAATGGCTTCTCTCCTGTGTGTGTCCTCATGTGTTCATCGAGGCCGCGTTTCTGACTGAAAGCCTTGTTGCACTCAGAACACTGGTAAGGCTTTTCCTGTAATACAGCCACAAGAGATGGAGTGGAAGTGAGCCAACACATAGCAAAAGCTGTTAACGGCAGAATTCCACACAGGATCATGTATCTTTATATCTCAGCTCCAAGAGACAGATGTCAGAGCAAAGTTAGTTAAAATAATCCTTGAAAGATGAACGGAAAGTGGATGGGAAAACTGTGGGCTGGCACCTTCCGCTTTAATATAGAGGTATTATCTTTCCCAGCCTTTTAGAAGCAGTGTTTTGAGGGAAGGGGTCTGTGTCTGTTTTTCATAACCCCTGCTACAAACAACTAAATAACATGACATCTTAGAAAGCTTGATTTACAACATTTTACAGAAACATTTTGATCAAAGCCATTTTTAATCTTCTTAGCCATAAGACTAAGAACCACAAATACAATCGTTTCCCCAAAATACATATTAAAAAGGCAAATATCAGGGCATGCACAGTGAAAAGGAATTGTAAAAAGTCAGATTGCATATATTCTTATGCAAATAATAATTGAAATATCTTGGAGAAAAATCACTCCAAGATGTCTCATGCTGGTTTTAAATTCACTAAATATACAATAAAAAGAACGATTAACACATGGTACATCAGAATTCCACCCTGTAGTCTCTAAAGAGTCCTGTGAATGGAGCTCCTTTGCATAGTCAGTCTTCCTGCAAAATGTTTATACTCTTTTGTGGCTTTTAAATATTTATTTTATTTTAAGTAATCAACATAATAGGGCTCTTAAGAAGGGAACTTGTGGGTCCTGCCTTTCAAGCATTTACGTCAATGAGTTTTTTTGTGTGTGACTATGGATTGGGAAAATATTCCATAGTCAACCCTCTGTAATTTTTACAGAAGTGTATGTCTCAGCCATATGAAAAACAGGCATTCACAACACACCCTTAATTTGTTTTGCATTGTAGTTGATGAAAACCACATTTTTTGTAAGCCCTCTGAAAATCCATTTTATTATGTGCATGTGATGTTCGGTGGAAAGTTCAAAATAAACTGAAATAGTTTCATGTCGGAAATATGGAGAAATATGAATATTACACAGAAAATCACAGCTATGTAGTAAGTGATTATCACAAATATTTCAAGTTCTGGGCTGTCATTCAAAGATGCTATTCAGTTTATTCTCAATAATAGTTTACCCAGTTTCTATATGTTAAAAGTGACCCATAAGAAATTATATTGGTAGGAGAATGTCCTTGAATAAAACCTTGTGAGGAGAAATGACTTTGCTTCCAGAGAACATTCATATGGGCTGTGACAAGGGAAAGAAGCACTTGTACTTCACTGGTTTTTGCTAGTCATTGATCAAATAAACAGTGTTTCATTTCACTGGTTTCTGAGTTTACGATATTTAAACCTGTCAGGGGGCTAATGCTGTCTGTGGCTAGTGACCCCACTGGTAGCCTGTGGAAGCAAACAGAAATGCTCCCACATTAAATGCTTAGTGTGAGGTTGCTATGCTGCACACAGTCACTTTTTAAGGGCATCTACACTTTTTCTTTATTTTCCTTGGCTTATTTGCCACTTCAATCTTTAACTGGTTGAATGCAGCATATAATTGACTGCATATATTCTGTATGTCATCCCAGACACTGTCATTCCATTCTTACCTAAAAATTCAGATAGGGAGATTGTAAAAACAAACAGTGGAACTACAAGAACAAAAGGTTATGGATACTACTGTTACAAACTGATTGGAGGAGACAGATATAAACTATTCCATGAATAATTCCATTGCTAATTATGAATCACTATCCTGCTAGTAAGAACACAAGAGGAAATTTGGATTTGCTAATCCAAAACAGGTTGAAAGAACCAATATCTTTACTGAACTTAGTAGTTCTTAACTTCTACCTTGTGTTTCAATAGAGCAACAACTCCCAGTCATGATGTTCTTAAAAGTGCCAGATCAAAAATCTGTAACTGGTATAGAGTCCAGGTTATATGTTTTCTTGACCATTCTTGTTATTGATGTGTGACTATATTGATTTGTCTCACAAAACTGACAGAGGATTCATCTTGATTCCTTGTGGTCTTACCTAGCACTGTGTTCAAAACCTGCAACCTAAACTCTGTTTCTTCTTCCCTTTATTGAGAAACAGAAACCATTTTATTAGATAACCTTAAGAACATTTCCCATGCAATTAATAGTTAAAGGAATACTGTGCAAATAAAAATAATCACTGGAAGATTTTTGCAAATAAAATATACAATCAAAATATGCATTATCAGTAGCTTACTGTTGTAAATATGAATATATATTCATACATTGACAAGGACAACTACTGATAACCCACCCTATTTTTATGTCTTTGCATTCAATGAATGCAGTTATTATTTTAGCCTGTAAGATGCAAGTTACTACTTCTCTAATTTGATAGATACTCCATAAACAAGTTGGCCTTTACAAGCCCAGAAGCCTTTCGGTGCCTGTGAAATCTTTTCCTTTAATTTTCCAGATAACTGTTGACAATTCAACCATTTCCTCCTTTGTATTACTTTAATTTTTTTTCATATTTACTTACATTCCTTCATTATCTCCACTGCCCTTTAAAATGGCATTAGTTTTATTCCCAAACTGTTCCTATAGCTTATGTTTTATATAGATTTACAATAGCAGGGAACATACCAGCACAACATTTTCATACTATGAATGTTCATTCTCCTGACAGCATCCACTACATAATCATAGAAGTAGGACTGTTATTTTTATTTCCAGTGCTTTTGTTTTTGCTCTGTGGAATAGTTTATTTAAGAAAAGCCAAGGCTGAAGGTAAAAATTATTTCTCTGCGCTGACTCTGAGCAAGTTACAGTCTCTATTTTGCATAGTGTATAATCTTCTCAAGGAATCATACCATCACAAACTTCAATCTTCGTAGGTTTACTTGTAAATATCACACATCAAAAGTGTCTTATATGGGGAAAATAAAGTCAACATGCTTGCAACAAATGAATTGATCCTGAAAGAGGAGGGAAAAATGGATCAAGGAACAGGCAGATGTGACTTTGAGAAACTGAGGTCTAGAATCAGAGACATGATAAAAATCATACCCCACTGGTCCTGTAGATTTTCTTTCTGGATTGGATTTTGACTGCTCATCCTCATTGAACACTGATGCTGTTGGGTTGAAAGCAAAGGGTAGAGAAGCACCACACTGTGTGGTAAGAAGCCTTAGGAAGGCAGTCGGCTTAGGTAGTATTGGCCCTAAATAGGCTAGCTCCTGCAATCAGAGCTGAGCCCAGGTGAAGGATCAGAGCTATGAAACTCCATCTGAATACTCTTAGCACTGAAATGATTTCTGTAATGCCTAACATCATATGCTTCTATGACCTGACACCACATTATGCCAGTTTTAGGATAAGCCTCAGTACAACCAACTTTACAGAAAAATGTCCCAGGTTTAATCCCTAGGATCTCCAAGTAGAATTGGAGAATCTTATTTTTTGAAACCTGGAAAACCAGTGCCAGTCAATATACTTAGTCAATATACTTAGCTAGATTGACTAATATATGATTTGATGTAAAGGCAGCATTCTATTCCTATTTACCATCACATGGAAGAAGTAACTATACAACATATGACTTTCTTTACCATATGAAGATTATATTAAGAGATCACTTTTCCAGTTGTCAGTTAAAAAGTAAGATATCAGAATAATCAAAATCTTCTGAAATCCTTCATGAACTTTAACATTTAGTAGCAATAGAAGATCCAGAGAAATTCCTGGTGTGAAACTGTTTTATTTTTAGCTGGAAAGACTGGAAAGTCTAATGATTACTTCAGTAGATGGGGGGAAAGGTTATAACCAACTGGAATTTTAATCTGTAAAATTATACCTCATAATATATAGTTTACTTAAACCCACAGCATTACTAAAAGCAGTGACTATAATCTAGAGTGCAGTTCAGCCACACTGGATTGCAGCTGAAGTATTTCAATCAAAAGATATTGTAACATGTTCTCTTCCTTAGCCATGAGAATATCAATGGAATTACTACTTAGCTATCAAACTAATGCATTCTGTTGACATCTTAATCTAATATCACTTGTCTGGTAGGTGCAGGGGGATTCTAATCATGTTGATTTCTTCTGTCCAGCAGGCAAAGAATGCAGTAAACTAGACAGTTTGCTCATTAAAAAACAAAATTCATGCTCTACATAATTTCAGCAATGGCTGGTATATGTGATAAATCAGAGTGTGCAGAGTTGCTTCTTGACTCAATATTTAAGCTCAATTGCATCCTGTGTTTTAACATGACTGTGCAAAACAAATTTTCTGCTTAATGTGGTCATAGCTACTTTTTCAAGCCGCTGCCCCAATTTTCAGTCTAGATCCAAATTGCTGGCTGGGGAATTCTGGGAGTTGAAGTCCACTCATCTTAAAGTGGCCAAGTTTGGACAACACTGTTGTATAGCATTCCAGACCAAATTATTATTCACGTATGGATTACATATTGAGATTACTCCGATGACCTGACTTAATGCTTCTTGACAGGGCATTTTATTTAAATTTCCTCTCATTTAAAAGGCTATAGCAGCAGTAGTTCCAATATAAATCAGGTTCCTTTTTTAAAAAAATCT